CATTTCTCAAGAGCAATTTTTGAAGGGGACACCAATAATACAAGCAAAATTGTACTTTCTAAGGATATGTGTTCACAGAGGAAAGCCTACTAACAATAGCATGGAGACCGTGCCATTATCCTTCTTGTCAAAGTTTCTCTCTGGTTCAATGAAAAAGCTGACTAAATTTACCAAAATATTCAAAATCACATTTGTTATCATGCTAATATCTGGAGAAAAACTGCACTCTTCGTGTAATATTATATTAGATTAAATATATTCAATTATATAATCCGACTAAATCACACAGTGAAAGCTGAAAATCGAAATGCACACCAGCACTATTAATCTACAAGACTGCATGTAGCCTACTGTATGCATACACTCTATGGGTGTGTGTGAGCTGTGAGGGAACGGTTTTAAACAAGTTAGACTGCATGAAACAAAGGTAAACATTATCGCTAACATAGCGAGACAGACTACATCGGTGACAACATTGGTTATTATCATAAAGACATTTTTTGTCATGATTTATTAATGACGCAACGTCATCTATATTAAAGAGAAAATAATCACGTCATCCGATGTTTAAAGTGAATAAAATAGCCTTGACTTACTGGAGTTTCACAACTACTGAAAAACTTTATTCTCTCCCACCGGACTTTGTGTGTAGATTAGAGCTTAGATTCTCTGCCCGAGTCCGAACCTGACCAGACCCGACCCTCGGGCCGGGTCGATATTTCCCGTCACTATCCTCGGGTCGGGCCGGGCCGGGCCGGGCCCTTGATCTAGAGACGTGCACTCCCAACGCAAAAGAGTGCGGCGCGGGACTAGATTTGATGGCCGAGTGCGAGCGCGGGTGGTAATGCACTCACGTGTGTGCGGGTTGCCACAAACTAGAAATATCTATAAATAAAACATAAAAATTAATACATTTGTATTCATCTGTTGCAGAAAAGCTACAAGAACAACTAAAACAAAATAGAAACGATTGACAGGCCAGAGTTTCTATTTATAACATGTTTGCAGCGTTGAGCGATGTAGCCAATCACAGACATGTGTTGATTTCTTGAACGCAATGGACAATCAGAAGCATTTAAGATAGACTCCCCTCACCGCTCAAAACGGACTTTTTGTTCAGTGCTGAATTCTGTATGCTGGCAAATCCTCTAATTATAACAAACAAAGTGTATATATTATGAAAGATTATTGTGCAGTCAGCTTCATTGATAATAACAGAGATGTGTGAGATCGCGATGAACTGATTTTTAGGAATTATTAAGAGAGCGCACTTTGCGCGCATCAGTCATGCCAGACCATGCACGCTGTAGCCTGCTTGCTTTTATGTTATAATAGTGTTTTGTGTGTTAATGCTTTAATAACAAAAAAAATATCAGGAGCATTTATGCTGATGTGTATGATGGCGACACGTAGGCTAACTAGAAAGTATTTGGAGGTACAGAAAAAAAAGTATATTTGCGGGCGGGAGCGGGACAAAACATAAATGTTGCGGGCGGGAGAAAGTAACATAGAAAGTAGTTGAGAACGTCAGTTATAACAACCCACGTATTCAAAAAGTGGTCAGGTTTATATCGGGCTCGGGCTTGATTTTTTGGGCCCGATCTAAGCTCTCTAGTGTAGGTGGTGGTGAGGTAAAAGGGGAGCAGGCAGCGGACCAAAGCACTGTGAGGCAAAGGAGGGGGGACTCAAAATGTTAAAAGTTTTTTTGTTGTTGCCCCGTTTGCATTCGTATTGTTTTACTACTTAAATAATTATTTTAAGTATATATCATTATATTATTTACAATACACATATTTTAATGATATTTTTAGGAGGGGACAATCCTCAGATGGGGGGGGGATCCTGACCCCCCCGCGATTTCCGCCTATGAGCAGGGGTGAGGAGTCGCCAGTCAATGGGGTCATATCCGCGTTACCCTCGGTTTCCGCTCGTACTGCCATAGTAACCATGGCGACAGACGTGGAACACTGGGTTGTGCTTAGCAGGACGCTCACGCTGTTGTTGTTTTGTTCAAACATTTTGGACCATGGCAAGCAGACTTTGAGACAAAAAGAGGACTAGAATGAAGATCAAAATCTTTCGAGATGCCGAGAGCACCACGTCCGCGACTAACTTCGACTTGACAGAGATGCGAGTGTTCCATGTACTTTATTTGACAGGTGAGCAAATGTACATAGAACTAATCAATGTTATTTAGTTCAATATGATGAAATGTTAGAATATGATCTGTATGTTATTCTAATGTTGATCTAGCTTACTGCTAGTCTCATACAGCCAACAAACAACCTAACTAACAACATTCAACACACTCAAATGCCGTTCAGTGTGATAGTGTAACTGTTAGAGCAAGTGAAACAGTTCTGCGTTACCTCAAGTTTAATTCGTCTAATAAACTGACACTGTGAGTAACTTAATTCAGCACTTGCGTGTAGTTCGGTAGAATGAAATGTCCTTATTACTTTATATCCGCGGGACTCGCGTTGCGCTGATATACGTCTCTCATTAATCGCGCCCTGCTTCACACCACAGTTATGTTAAAAACATCACTGTATTCAATCATCCATAAAAGATCCATCAGCTTGACGACAAGATCCATAATTCCGCTTGATGCTTTGCGTCATCGATATACGGCTTTGTTATTGATCCCTGGTGGCCAAAAATGACATACTTTTTAATTAGTCTTTCCATTAAACATACAGTAAGTAAACAACTCAGCCACTTAGATATCACCGCTTTATATCACGTCAAAATCAAACTTGAAATGTCTTTTTTTTTTTGTGAGCAATCAGCTTGGGGAAATTAAAGGTACATCTTCATGTCCAGTGTGTTCAACCTTGATGACTGCTGAAAATAAGTTTACTATTAAAAGAGAAAAGCTGAATATTAGTTCACAAATAATATACTATATATTGTTTAAATTGTTACTGCCTTTAGTGCACTAACTTGATGATTTATACTTGGTTTAAATAAATAGAACATTAAATTAGTTGAAAATACAATATAGAATTGTTTATTTAACAAGGAAAATTTATACATAAAGGATTTAAATAAAGTTTTACAGATTTCTCTTCACCTTCAACTGGGCTGTGTAAACTACAGAATGACATCTGACATCTGAGCCGGAGAAAGGAAAGCAGTACAACTCCACCAAATTTCCCACTGGGACAGATGTGGGTGCCAGTTCTCGCACTTGGTCAGAATCAGCGACTGGCTCGGGCTCGGGGACAAGTGTGGCTGCAGGACCTAGCTCCGGGGCGACCTTCTCCACCAGTGGAGGTTCTTGGTGGGTGTTGGCTCTGGCTCGGTTCTCGTGGCGGACGCAGGCTCAATATATATTCGGAATACCATAGCAAGTGCTTGGGAGGACTTCGACTCGGCGCATATATATCTATGGACTCGGCGCAGTAATATCATCACTCCGGAGAGGGGGAGATGACTTTTCACGAGTGATGATATTACTGCGCTGAGTCGAAGTGCTCCCAAGCATACATTATAGTTATCCACTTTACACGCTTAGAAAAGCGCAACGTTTTATTTTATGTCACCATTCTTGGTCGAGTTAAACTACTCGTGTAACTGTATTTAAATAGGGAAAACGTGGAGGTGTTTGGTCGCTTCTCTGGTTGGATCCTAATGAATGAACTGGGCTAAGTTAAGTGCTATCAAAGTGTCTCGCGCGCCAGAGTGATTGAGTGCATGCACTGAGACGAGAGAGGTATGTATCAACTCGTCTTAGTTAAGGGAATAACATTGTTTAATATGAAAAAACGGTAGAGTATCCCTTTAAAGCCTTGGGAGTAACTGGGGACTCCAGGGATCTTATTGATAGGATTCCTGTAAACCCTCTGGGGTCGGCTATCGAGCCTGCGCGACAAGCTCACTTTTTTCCTTATCAGAGCAAAAGAGACTCAAATTACTCTGTTGATTTTGATCTTACATATAAGTGTTGTACATCATTAGATCCTGTTAAGTGTCTATTTTTTTTTGGATACTCACTATAAAAACAAAGTGTTCTGCTTTTTGCCAAATAAAGAAAAATAAACATGATGCGAATTTTGCCTTCTCCCTGTCAGTGAAGTTCATTCTGAAACGCGTCCGAAAATGAACCGTAACTCAGTGAATACTTGTCACACAGGTACGAAAGATTTTTCGTTATGAAGCTGAAATTCTCTTCTTTTAAATGAAGTAATTTATATAAAAAACAAATATTCTCAGTTTATGTAATCTGTATGAAAATAGAGATATGTCAGTCTTTTTCCTTTCAGCTAATTATAGCTTATTACGTGTTAATGTGACCACGCCAACGGAGAGCGCGCGCTATTCAAACGCAAATGTTGAGGCAAGCTATGCCAACGCCCACATCAGCTGGATAAAACATCTTGTACTTTACCTCGTCTTGCTGCACTGTGAGGAATAATACTATCGTAATAATCCTGGAAAAATTACATCAGAAGTGCTCGTAGTTTCATTTCGAGGAGCACGGATTCAGCTGATGTAGTAAGTTATTTATTCTTAATTATTGCGGGTATTTTCTTTCTCTCTGAGTAGAGGTTTAATCTATTCGTAACAGCACGTTTGAAAAAAAAAATGCACAAAATGACAACCACCACCATAAACAGATAAAACAACAGTTGTAATGCTTTTGGTTTTATCTTTAACTTTCCTGTCCTGTCAGCATCACTTTTTGACTTAATTTCATTAAAACATAATCTATCACTATCCAGGTTTAGGGCCTCTCAGGGAATGTACATGGTAAACTTTCATACAGAATACAAACTTTTAAAATAATCCTTGATGCTCTCGCTTACTGAATGCTTCTTGCTGTTTCATGATCACAAATAAAAACAATGAAAAAACAAAAGCATCTCTACAAATTCAAGGAGCAGCATGTTTTAAGGTAGTCTCAATTTAAACAGCAGCTCTATGTTGGATGTGTTATTCGCCAGATAACTTGCAGAGCAAATTTGTGCATTAAGAAACAATATGGAAGAAAAGCTTACCAAAGACAGTGCGTGCTGGCACAGACTCCCGGTTCAGCCAGAAGGAGACCTGAGAGAGAATGACGGTCATTATGCAGGGGAGATACGTCTGGATCACGAAATAGCCAATTTTCCTTTTCAAGTGGAAATATGTTGTCATCACTACATATTCTCCTATATAAGAAATGAGAAAAAGAGAAGAGAGAGAGACCATTAATTACTATTTATTTACCGAAGATCATACAAGCAAAGTAAATGAGATATAGAGAGATGCGGTCTTGTGTTAGAGAGGAAAGTTAACACAGTGCCAACGATGGTGAAGGACTCAAGTGTTTTACCAGAATGGTTGGGGCAGATTGGATGTTCTAACCTTAACAGCAGGAAGAATGTTACAGACAATTGACCAATATGGAAGACCTACCATTTAGTTATTTTTAAAGGTCTAATGGAGCATGGAGAGCTGCGATTATGCCATTAAAATCAGAAGTAGGATGGACAATTTGCTATGTTTAAGTCACATAACATATGTTAAAAATTTTGAAAATCCCAAATAAAGGAAGTAGTAGGAGACCTATATTCTACATTTTATCTCATTTAATCTCATTGCCATCTAGAAGAAACTAAGATTTTCAAGATATTATTTTCTTCTGAGAAAAAAAAAGAAAGAAAATATGCGTCACGGAATGGGTAGATTAAAGGTGCGAGGACTCAAGTGCAGAAATAATGGGTAGTATTTGTTAAGTAAACAAACAAACACAAAACTTCAAACAAAACTCAAACAGAACTTGGACAATGAACCAGCACAGGATTGCAAACATGGATACTAAATAGGGAGCAAACAAAAGAGGGTAACGAACAAAGCAGGTGGGGAAGATTAATCAATTATCAGGTAATGAGATGGGACTGGCTAGACAATTGACATGAGAGCACATGGCACAAGAAATACAAGACAAGCCATGTGCTCACAATAAACCAGACTAAACAAACACAGGACAAACTGGGAATGTCAGAGCTCTGTCACCAACCAGAATATAACCCAGACAGAAGTGACAGAAACCTGACATTATGCCTTGCAAAATATTGCATTTTTCTTTTCTTTTTTGTTGCAGCTTCATACTAAAATTCTTTACATTCATATTTTTTTTCCTTATTAATCTAAAGAAAATTGTATTGACTGTAAATGTCTGTGAGTGGCCCAGCCAGAGCCTAGACTTGGATAACCCATACATTTGCAGAATTTTCCTTATGCTACTTTTGTGTTGTCTTGGCTGTGTGCTTATAGTCACTGTCCTGTTGGAAGGCCAGCCTTCGGCCCGTCTAAGGTTGTGAGTTCTCTGAACCAGGTTTTTATTGGATATGTCTTGTCTCTGAAAAATAAGCCCAAAGTATGATACTACCACCACCATGCTTCACTGTAGGGATGGTGTTGTGCAGGTGATGAGTGATGCCTGGTTTCCTCCAGACATGAATTTTCAGTCTGAGATTAATTTAGGTGCATTTTTGTAAATTCCAAGCAGTCTTTCATGTGTTCAGCACCGAGGAGAGGCTTCCGTCTGGCCACTCTGTCATAAAACCCAGGAGCTCAATCAGTGATTCTTGTCCATCTGCAAATTTCTCTCATCGCCGCACATGATCTCTGGAATTCAACCAGAGTGACCATCAGGTTCCTTGCCACCTTTCTTTCTAGTGTCCATCTCCCCTGATTGTTCAGTTCCACTGGGCAGCCAGCACCCCTGTGCTTATAGGAATATTTAATGCAGGCAATTTTTTGTAGCCTTCATCTCTAAAGGTAATCTAAAATATATATTCAGTCATATGGTACAAGGAGAACATTTAGGGCCAGATGTACTAACGCTTTTGCGCCCACTTCAGGTTTATTTGTTTCGCAAAGTGCGCATAAAACCATGGCGAGGTATGTACGAACGGGACGCACCGAGATGAAAGCACAGACTGCCTAACGCGGGAACTGAAATGGCATAATGCGCTTTTTGTGTCTTGCATATGCATTCATGGAATGGTCAAGGGGAAAGTGGTAGTGTCACATAAAGAGATGATTGGGGGGGGGGTTGGGGGGGGGGGTGCGCCTAATTATGTATTCCGCGTTATGTACAGAAAAAGCCGGTGAAAGCACGCCTCTAATTAGCGCTGAAAATTCTCCGCCTCTCAAAAGCAGGTGTAACTTAGGGTTTCCTGGCATATGCCTCCTGGTGAAATGGCAGCAGAAATCCGAGCAAGACTAAGACATAGGCTACACTGTTAACAATTTTCTTGTATTTTTACAGTACAGTACTGGCAGCAAGGTTGCCAGCAAGGTACTGTATTTCGATTTACAGTAACTGTACTGTAATTCAATTTACAGTACACACGAACAGTACTGTAAACTACAAAACAGTATTGTACTGTATTTTTACAGTTTTTTTTGTCATTTTTGTCTGCTTCTGTTGTAATTTATACGATATTGTACTGTAATATCTATATTGATATATTGATGCATTATTGCAAAACATTGTAATTTTCAAATTACTAATGATATTATAACTATATAATATGTAGTTATTACAGTATATAAATCTATAGGTAATAATATTATAATGCAACTTCAGAATAACTGCAAATCAAAAGACAATCCAAACAATGTTCTTGTCAAAAAAATTTTTTATTGATCAATTACACTATTAAAACCATGTATGGTGAACGCATTTAAGAGAGAGGTTGAGAAACTGCATGACTTGCAGCTGTAGCTGGACATACTTAAAGAGATACCCTACTGGTTTTTCATATTAAACTATGTTATTCCCTTAACTAAGTCGAATTGATGCATACCTCTCTTGTCTCAGTGCGTGCACTAAATCGCTGTCTTGCGGCGAAACTTTGTTAGATCTTATCTCAGCCCTGTTCATTCAAAATACGTGCCAAGAAGAGAAGCGACCAAACACCTCCACGTTTTCCCTATTTAAATACAGTGACACGAGTAGTGTAACTCGACCTAGGACGGTGACACAAAATAAAACGTTGTGCTTTTCTAAGCGTGTAAAATGGATAACTATATTGTATGGCAGAATACCATAGCAAGTGCTTGGGAGCACTTTGACTCTGCGCAGTAATATCATCTCTCGTGAAAAGTCCGCTCCCCCCGCTGCCTCTCCTCCTCCCTCTCATTTCAACGGGAGCGGACTTTTCACGAGAGATGATATTACTGCGCCGAGTCGAAGTGCTCTCAAGCACTTGCTATGGTATTCTGCCATACAATATAGATATCCATTTTACACACTTAGAAAATTTTGTGTCACCGTCCTAGGTCGAGTCACACTACTCGTGTAACTGTATTTAAATAGGGAAAACGTGGAGGTGTTTGGTCGCTTCTCTTCTTGGCACGTATTGAATGAACAGGGCTGAGATAAGATCTAACAAAGTTTCGCCGCAAGACAGCGATTTAGTGCACGCACTGAGACGAGAGAGATATGCATCAATTCGTCTTAGTTAAGGGAATAACATAGTTTAATATTAAAAACCAGTAGAGTATCCCTTTAAAAACTTGGCTGGGATTTTGAGGTGGTACTGGAACCTTGGACCGATGACCAAAACTGAAAAAGACATGACACACAAAAACACATGACAAAATCTGTTAGCCACAGCACCAAAGATGAGCAGACAGACAGTGGAAGAGAGAAAATTCTGTAGAAATAACAAAAACAGACAAAAAAAAAAAAGTAATCTTTAGATTTTAAAACTTTAAGTTTAAAACATTGTATTAACATGGCTAATACTTACATAAAACTCCTTCCCAGGCTGCAAATTGTCCCACACTGTAGAGCTGTAAGAAATCAAAATAAATAGTATTCAGTTAACGGTTATGTGTTTCTTGTTAAGGAAATATCTCATAAATCTGCTTACAATACATCTAAGTTAGGTTAATAAAACATAAGCTTCACTTGACCTCTCTAAATATTCTAACTTGATTTTTTGGCATGCAGTTTACTTGTCTTTGTTGCCTAATAGATCATTAACTCTGATAGTCTGAAGTTTTTCAACAATTTACACCTTTATTTATATTTTTAATTATTATAATAATCAATATAACTGGGTCTCCTGCCTAAATAGAAATGAAGTAAAAGGCTAAACTGGTACCAATAGCCAATCTCTCTAAGCCCATCTCTCTAAGCCCAAATAAATCACCCATTTTGCGTTGCAAAGGAAAGTGCAGTGTTTTTAAGCCTTATTTTCACGCGTCTTATTTTGTGTCTAAACGACTTCAATTTGGTCCAGTATTGATCATAAAATCATTAAGTTCGTCATTCGGGAAACGGACTGCAAATAGGCCTATAGCAGTTTGATCAAAATAAAGATATGTCTATTATAAGTGCTTGTTTTTACCACTGACAGGCTCGGGTGTTCCCTACAGAGATAGGCCTAACAGTAAGACTAACATGTCAAATGCAGTATAATTTTATCTCGCAGACCATCGTAAAACACATTTAATTAAAACTCGACAGAAACAAAATAAAACTCACAAAAGACCATCTCGATTTCTCTTTCCACCGTTCCAACAATCACCAAATCTGTTTTGGACGAAATAAACCGTAAGGTAATGTTAATTCACGGAGTTATAACGTTAAATTTGAAAATGTCAGGACAAGCAGTGAAAGAGCAGATAACGTTAACAAACTTAACAGTGTTTTTGCAACCGTCGCTGGCTAAACTTCCACTGTCATTTCACATTAAAAGCTATGTAGGCTACACACTATAGCGTAAAATCCTTAAACCTTATTATAAAATTCAAAATTAACTTACCAAATATGCAGATATCCACAGAGTGAGATATCCGCGCTGAGTGAGTGAACTGCCGCAGTTGTGCTCTGACGTCAGTCAGGCGGCGCGCGCGCTCTCTGTTTACAGCAACCCTGTATATTTGCCTGGCATGTTACAGCCAGGTTACAGCTAGGTTACAGCAACACTAAAATGTACTGTAAAATGTTCCCGCTCAAACAAAATTACCCAGAATGCAATGCAAATTACGGTATTTTACTGTAATATAGAAATGCAGTATTGTACTGTAGGTTTTTACAGTACTGTGCTGCTAAATCTACAGCGAAAGTTAACAGTGTAAGGAGACGAGCTGAAAATATTTTTGCCAAAAGAATCACACTTTTTCAGTTGAGTGAAAACGAAATCAT